TAGCTCTTAGGAGTCACAGTTTCTGAGGTTTCAGTCTGTCCTGCCTTTTTTTTTTTCTTTCTTTTTTTTTTTTTTTTTTTCTTTTTGCATGGGTCTTAGCTCCTGCAGTTTGCCCATAAGGTAGGTAGTAGACAAAAAGATCAAATAGTCACCAGTCTTCTGTCATTGGCAAACACAGAGATCTACCATTGGTAAACACAGAAATAGTGTTCTTCTTTGATCTGGACATACTTGTTTTTCTTTGACTGACAACCTAGTAGCACATCTAGTCAACGTTAACTTCCCTACAGCTGCTTCTAGTGCACTCACTATTCCCTGATGGGCAACAAAGCACCTTCCAGCTTTGTAGAATATTTCACAGGTGAGGTGGATTTCTTCCTACCCCCAGCAAGGCCCTGAAACATAAGAATTGCTTTTGGATTAATTGTCTGATACTTCTCAAACTGTCAGAGAAATGAAGGCAGTGTGAATTAAGATACTGTCAAATATGAACAAATACCAAAGGATATGGTAACACTGATGCTCTTCTTTCTCCGTATGGAGCCAATGTCCCTGCCAAGTTCCCTTGGCTGGTGGCTAGTGCCATTGTTCAGCCTCCTGTCCCAAGCATTGTCTTCCTCTTAATTGGGAAATCTACCTTTAAGACAGCTTTTTGTCTGGGACTGCAGACTTCCTTCCCTCTTACTGTCTTGAGCTTGGAGACAGCTCCCTAGGGGCTATTGTGCAAGGCTACCTGGGTGGCAAAATGTCAGCAGGAGGTACTAGCATCAGCACGCGATAGAACTGCCCCCCAAAATCTTGTGACCAGCCCACATTCTGCCTCTGTTTCTTTACCTGACTTGAAGAGTGCCTAGCTGTGCTGTACACTGCCTGAGTAGTAATCTGTTTACAGTTAGCCTGGTTGAATGCAAAGTGACTGGTTTGTGGACTTTCTGTATTTTGAAATATCATCCAGAAATATCTCGTAATGCTGAGCTGTATTTTGCCTGTGCAGCCTAATAATTTTCTAATAATACTTACCTTAGGTCTGATCCACATAAAAGTGCAGTGTCAAATAAGGTTCTCATGATATTTTTAAGCAATCTAACCTTTGGTCCTGGCTAAATTCCAATCTGAATAATTACTGACTACCTACATTCCTCTTGCATTTTCAATTGAGAAAGTTAGCTTTCCCTTTCCATTTTGAAAATGATTGTGTAACATTGCTCTGCCGTTAGTAGATGCTGCATTCCTCTACAGTGATGCGTATGTTTTACTGTTAAGTTAAATGAGATTGTACAGGTATAATGGTTTTACTGGCATGTTTATACCTAAATATAGATATGTCTGTAAAACCGCTTCATCTAATGGCCCTCCCATATATTATTTTCCAGGGAGTAAGAGACAACATAATAGTGTGGAGTAATGTATAAGGGATTTTACTTAGCAGTGTGGAGTTTGGGATTTGCTAAATTGTTTTGGAGTGCCAAAATCATAGAAAAGACTTCAAACACTGTTGCCCCACACCACCAGCAAGGGAAAATCCTGCTCATGTAAGATACTTTGTAATAAAATATCCCTGCCTGTTTTAATAATCATTATTGACTGGTGAAATACTGTAAAATTATTAAAGTTGCTTGAAACACAAAGGGTAAATGTCCTGTCTTACAGCTGCAGCCTTGTCAGGTGCTTATGAATTTCTTCATTCCTCTTCTTCACTGGGAACAAGAACCCACTCAGAAGGAGGTCCATGTGCTGCCTGCAGTGCTTCCTTGATTGGGTGCCTTGTACGTTTGCATTTGAACACCAGAGAAATAAATGGACAAAACTTGCTGCTGTGTATGCAGATACGTATTTTCAGAATAGTTCTGGGGTCACCTTAATCTGATAATAAGTCTGTGGTCATTCACCCTTGCCTTGCCTCTATTAGCACACATTCAAAACGGGCTTGTAGTGAGCCAGACCAGGGGAGGAAAGTGAGATGAGGTTAGTGCTGGGATGTTTGTCCCTTTCTGTAAGAGCCACCACCTGCATGTGAGCAGACATGTGCAGAGTAGCTTGTGAACAGAAGTCAGCCCCAAGGTAGGAAGGGATTGTAACACCGTAAGCACCCCTGTTGCAGTCTCTGAGCAGCTCAACTCTATGCTGTGACCCTGCTGCTGCCTTATGGGAGCTGGATGGTGGAAACCACACTCAGCCCTGGGTTGTGTGTAATTTATTGACATTCTCCTGCCTTATCACATCCCTGTGTCCCATCCTACAAGGGAGCCCAGCCTGGATCTGGTGCCTGCTATTCCCTCAGAGGGACACTGATCTATGGGACACGGACGGCCCCTGAAGCACCTGAAAGACATTATGAGCACGACAGTAGTGTTACATATGAGTGAGAGAGGGAGAGAGAGATGTCTTGGTTGGTACAACACAGGCCACCTAAGCATTGCTATGCCTGATCCAGGTGTGGGGTTAAAGATGAGGATCCAAATTGGAGATGCCAGGTTGGCTATAGAGACACAGACACCCTCCTCTTCTTCCTCGCCCTGGCTGCTGCCTGCGTATCTGGCCAAAGCTTAGGAACTGGCACTGTACAGATAACTCCATCATGTGTTGAATGGAAAAAACTGCCTGAGGGAGGGCACACTGCATGAGCTAGATACCCAACAGATCGGCACCTATGTGCTCCTCAGGATCTGGACTCTCTTATCCTGCTTGGAGGTAGATGTTTATTGGAGATTTATTGGCTTTGATGCAGGTGAAGAGAAGGGAATGGATTTCTTGGCTGCCATTTTTTCCCACTGGGAGAAGGCTGTGCTTGGGTGTGAAGGCTAACAGCTGCCATGATTGCCTGTATAGCTTCTGCATGAATGCTATCTGAGCCCTGGGTTGGAAGGCCCTGTTAAATATTCCTAGTGGGAGAGGGACTGGGAAAAACCTACACTTTCCTCCCTGGGCATCACAACTAGCCATTGCCTAATCAAGTGTAATATACTGTATGAGTCGATGCAGGAGACATATTTTAAGAGAACAAATATAGCATTAAAGTGAGTGAGCAAGAGACTGAGAGACAGAGAGTGTATAGAGTGCATTAAAGTTAATAAAGCATTGCAAGAATGGGGACTGCATTTCACTGTGAAGGAATCTAATTTAGTGACTCGTAATTGGAGGATAACAGTCATGCTGGAATGAAGTTAACTGTTCATTTTGCCAAACTCTCAAAATCTCTTGGTTCTCCTTGTGAGCATCTCTCGGAAAGTGAATCCGTCAGAGAGTTTAGAATCGATCAGTGCTTCACAGCCGCGGTCCCTTTCAGCCTTCTTAAGTGGATTTGGTTCCTCTGGTGCATATTTATTATCTGTTTTATTATCTGCTTATTTATCCGGTAATATCAATGCAGGATACATCCTCTCTGCTTAGCATGACAATGAGGGAGCAGGTGCTGAGCCTATGTGTTCTGCAGGGCAGGGCAAGATGGGGCCCGGCATGCCTTTTCCCTATGGATGGCTGGTGTCAGGTAGGGCTGTTTTGTGGACTTCCCGCCTTCACAAAGTTTTGCCAGCATTGTCGTCCTTGCTGATGTGGCTTTCTATTCATGTGATAGAGGCATGTGTAGCAGCGAACAATATGGAAGGATCCTGTTCTTGGACACCCAAGACCAGAAGTGCAGTGCAAAAAAGTGCCGGGCTAGTGTATTTATTTGAAGCATGCCTGGCTGCTGAAGAACAGAATTGTGGGCATGAGTGGCTGAGCAGGACATTTTGCCCTGGGAAAAAATCTTCTTTAGTTTGAAATGCCTGAAATTTCCTTGGGACATGAACATGGCCCAGGGTGGACATACCAAGCAGTGCTATCTCCCACATGTGGGATGTGGGGACACTGCTCTGTTGTCCACAGACCGGGGCTGGGGTTCTGATATTTACACTGCATAGGTGCTGTAAAAATTAATTTGTTAGTGTTTGTAAAGTGCCTTGAGGATGAAAAGCGCTGTGGAAATGCAAACTATAGTTAAAATGAGAGTAAATAAAGAAGGAGCTAGGAACAACCCCTCTGGGAACTGTCCTGCTCAGGCAGGGGCTGGAGAGATGACCTCATCGGGATTTTCTGTTTCCACTGTTACAAAATAAAGTGGATATGTTCAGGGAAAAGATCGATGTAACATACCTGGTTGTAGTAGCTGAGGGTGAACCATCGTAAGCTCTGTGGGTATTTCTGCTTCTGTGCAAAAATAGCAGTTATATGGGCTTGGAGGGAATGTCTTCTCTACGCTGCATTGATCCAGTTTTGGCCCCAGCCACTGGGAAATTTTGTATTCCTGGCTTTTTTTTTTTTTTTTGAGAACCCTGTACTGGTGGAAAGCATAGAGCTGACTGTACTACAGACTGGAGCTGTGCGTGTTCTGGTGGTGGTAGGAAGGTTGTATGCAATGAGTACACACATAACATGCATACATATACATCCAATGACCTTGCCCATTTGTCTCACTTTATTCTGGAGGGACTGTGATGCGAAAGTAAAAGGGAGCCCTTATCTGCCTGGTCTCCTCAGTCTCCCTGCCTATACCTCCAGCACAAGTCCAAACTGATTGCAAGCACCAGTCATTCCTTTGTGTTGAGGGTGAGCACTCAGACATGGGCTTGACATAAGCAATTAATTTCACAAAGTCAGCCGATCAGCTGTCAGAGGACAATCCTCTATCACTTTTGACTTAGGTCTCAGTGTGACATGGGACCTGAGAGATGACATGATCCCATCTTCTGCTGACAGCTGTTCTCTTAAGTGATTCCAAAGTCTGAAGTAGAGGCTGGACTGGTCTGACACTGCCTCCCTAACCCCTGCTCCTCCCAGCTTCAACAGAACCCTGAATGTAGCCAAAGGGCTAGGCATTAGACAAGAAGGATTGTTGGGAGGAGATCTAGTGGCTGAGGAAGATCAGTGGATCTGCCTTGAAGGCTGAATGCATGATTGACTTGTCAATTAATCACTTTCTTTTCCTTTCCCCATTTCCCTTTTCTTTCTTCCTCACTCAGGGAGTCGAAGAGCCGAAGATGAGGCCCAGGGTGGAGTGCTACTCTCCGAGGTTTTGGCTGGTGCTGGCAGTCCTCGCAACAACAGGGAGCGTGGCCCATGCCCAGAAAAACCACCCGAGCATTGGCATTGCAGTCATCCTGGTGGGAACCTCAGACGAAGTGGCCATCAAAGATGCCCACGAGAAAGATGACTTCCACCACCTCTCAGTGGTGCCTCGAGTGGAGCTGGTGGCCATGAATGAGACAGATCCCAAGAGCATCATCACCCGCATCTGTGACCTCATGTCAGATCGGAAGATTCAAGGGGTGGTATTTGCTGATGACACAGACCAGGAAGCCATTGCCCAGATCCTGGACTTCATCTCTGCCCAGACCCTCACTCCCATCCTGGGCATCCATGGAGGCTCCTCTATGATCATGGCAGATAAGGTAAATTTAAATGAGCTTCCTCCTATTGCAGACCTGTGGATCAAAACTTAAAACAGAAAGAAATATCTTATTCTGTGATCCTCAGGTGTTGTCTCATAGGGCCGAAGGGTTGAGGGATTAGACAGTTTCAGATTCAAAGAGAGATTAAAAGAGCTAACTGTGTGTAGCACCACTGAGAAGAGCCTATTAATCATGTGGAATTATCTGCAACAGAGAAAAAGCGAGGAGGGAAAGGAGCAGGTAGAAGAGAGTCGAAAAAGAATTGGCCCTTTTTGTTCTTCCTTAGGGAGGGTAAAGAGCCCCTGACAATTGTAATTCTTTTTAAAGGTTTTATTTTTGCCTGTGTTTTACCTTAGAAGATCCAGGGATCCTGGCCTGGGTTTTTCCTGCATGTAGCTGGAGGACATTGTGGTATTTTCAGGGACATTTAATACAGCTCTTACATCTTAATTGGAATATAATTGAATCTTTAATAAAGCCATCCTCTCTCAGAAGTGTTCATTAGCTCCCGAAGTTAAATAGATGTTGGCTAAAGCAACTAACCAGTCTGAACCAGTCCAGCTAAGTATTTCTTTTTTTCCACTGAACTACTTTATTCCTTCATATCACTGACATTGTACTGTTTTCCCAGGCCCTAGCCACTCTTCTAAGGAATTACTACTAAGGAAATACTACAACAATCAAGCCTTTCTGTACTGGTTTTGAACGGGGCAAGATGTAGAGGGAGTAGCATCTTTGACCAGCTGATAACTGTTATCTTAGTGGAGCCTCTATGAGGTGCAGGTGGAGCTGCTACAAGTCCTCCTCCTGTGAGGAAGAGGGAACCCAGCAAGTCACACCTGAGTGTGCCTTTGGCCAGGTGGTGTAGCTAACAGTGGCCTCTGGGCTACTGTGGGCCATGGAAATGTATGACAGAAGCTGGCTGTCCTTTTCCCATCAGGCTTGAAGCCAGACAGAGTCAAAGTCAAGCCTTTTATTGAGAAGAGCCTCTTGACCCATGTTTTGTGCATTCCAAAGAAGTAAGCAGGGACACAACCTGACAACCTTTTTCTTTTACAGGTTGTTTTTAAGCAAATCTGAGAGATTTAACTAGGCAGAATTGGGTCTAATTGAATGAAGAGTAGGAATTAACCTGGCCACTGTCGCTTTTCCTCAGAAACAGATCTGGTGGGATGAGAAATCCAGGCACTTTCTGTTTTATTTACCTTGCGAATAAATAATTCAGTGCAGGCTATTGGAGGTGATAACAAATTGTTTTCTCACTCTTTGACCAACTCTTCAGTTGCCGAATAACATACAGTTAATATGCAGTTGTTTTCTCGTATCAGCCTTTGAAATGAAATAGTCACTGAATAAAATAATCATGGGCCTTTTTTACTCTCTCTCCTTGAATAGTTGCACATGTGCTAAAGTCACGCAGCCACATTCCACCCACAGTAAAGCTTTTTTGCCTCGGAGGACAGTCAGACAGCAATGCTGCATCTTGATGCTCTCCTGCCTGCTGCATTGCATGGTTATCAATGTCTGTGCAAAAGAGGGTCTGAAGCATTGCTTGAGTGCTGCATTTCACACTTATGGTGACATTTTACATCCTCTTTGAAAAAGCATAAGACTTACTGACACAAGACCTCCTAGGCACTGGGAAAAGGTCCTTGTGACTTTGAACGTGGCAGGCAAAATTCTGATCTCAGATTCCCGCAGTGTAAATCCAGCATAACTCCATTGCCTTTGGCAGGATTAGATCAAATTTACCCTGCTGTAATTCAAAGAGAAATCTGACCTATTGAACTTTGAAAAGATTTGTCTTTCTACCTGTCTCTGGTCTCTCCTTGGGAAGGCAGCATCTCCTGCCACTGCCCTCTGTACCCCACTGGCTTGCTGCATTCTGGCAGGCACGCAGCCCAGAGGGAGCTCGAAGGTGGAAGCCTTCTGAATGGAGATTTCTGTTTTATCAAGCTTCCCCTCTTTTTTTTTTTTTAGTTTTGAAGACAGGAGAAGCAGGTTATGTACAAAGATCTGCAGTTTTAGGAAAGGCCAAGGTTTCTTTTAAACATAATTTGAAAAGGCTGACCTTTACAGCTTCTGATCCGCAGGTGTGTAATCTTTAATGGATAATATTTATTTGATGAATTGAATTAAAATGTGGTAGAGAGTAAATACACAGAAATTCAGCTAAAAATACTGAAGTCAACCTACTAAGTTCTTAAGCAATCCATTTTCCACAGAGGGCCTTGACAGAGGCTTTGGTTTTAGTGACTCTTAGTCATATTCTTTGCAGATGAGTTGTGTGGCTGAGGTTTGATCCTGCAAGCATGGATTGCTTCTTTCAGCATCCCCTCAACGCCCACAGCAGTCAGCTGTGATTGAACTTGCTCAGCATTTCACAGGTTCAGATCTGCACTTACAGCTTCGTTATGCTCCCTGAGTGTTTGTGATCAGTAGCGCCAATGCAAACCTAAAAAACGCTACAAACCACTAATGTCTTGGTGTGACAGATAAGCCACTCTTCTCTAGAGGTTAATGCAAAAAAACTCCTCAGTCAAACCACCTTTCCCAGAGTAGTATGTGAGATTCTGTTTCACCTTCAATGAGGGTTTAGTAAGTGTGCCTGCAAGGAAATTTGGGTCATGTAAAAAAGGGTTTGTAATGTACCCTGCAACTGGTAAATTGAGACACAAAAGAGCAGGGAAAAGAAAAAAAGAAAAAAAAAAGAGGATTTCAAGCCTGAATTTTATTTTCTCTTGTATATAAACCCAGAAATATTGTATAATGTGCACCATAACCTGGCCTTATCTCAGTTAACATACCTCTGGAAGTTTGCTACCCACCAGCTAGAGGTCTAGGTATCAGTGGTGAAGGAGGCACCACCTGAGGACAATTCACCCCACCCACCTCGGGGTGCATTGAAATGCTCGTGGGACAGTCCTGTGTCTCCCCACTGTTTACTGAAGAAGGCTGTACCTCAACTTTTTTCGTGATGCCTCAAGTTAAATGCCATGAATCCTGCTCTAGGTGTAACATAACAGGTGCAGGTATGTTACTGAAAGTGTAACATCTAGTTTCCCTGATTCTTTTGGTTCACACTCACATTCTTTAATATTGCATTTGATTACATTTTGGAGATAATGTTTATGTATTTTTGTTTTCCCCATATTTTGCCTTTTTTCTCTGAAAAATAGGTATAGAGCTATTTGCATATGTTTTTGCTGTTTTACTCAGTGTTCATGTCTTTAATTCCACCTGCTTAGCTGTTACAGAGTGTTACATTTAATTTCTGCCTAATTTGGCATAAGAAGAAAATGACCAGATGATCTGTGTGCACACTGTGATCTGGGTTCAGTTCCAGGAAAATGGTGAAGTACAGACACATGATGTGCCTCACTCGAGCTCTGGAGAGACCACTTTGCCGAGTGAGAGTTGTGTCACAGCCAGTTAAGTTCCTTTAGTCCCTGATAAGAATGTCAGCAGTGATGCCTAACAGTGTGAACTGTAGCAGTCATTTTGTGGGGACTGGGTGGTCTAGGAGTGATGGCTGAGGGGATCCAATAGCCCCCCATTAGTTCCTCTCAGAGGAGCAGGGCCTGTAGCTCTGGGGCAAGATAGAAGAGTGCTCATGCTGTTTTGGCCCTGTAAGGAAGCACCTCTTCCTTGTTTTGGTGCTGACACCTTGAAAAGCATTAGGGTGATAGCATCATCTCACCTGGACCTGTGATAAGAAAGGGAAGAGCACTGATCACTGATGATCTGTTTTTAATCCAAAATAGATGAAATGGAGAGGAGAGAAATGTGCACCAGTACCAATACTGGGTTTTTGTGGTCGAAAAACTTTGCTTGTGGGAGCTTGCTGGTCTCTTCAGTTTGCCTGATGTTGCTACAATGACATTACTTTTTTATTACCTGATTTTAAGCATTAGTTTGTATTGTCCGGAGGACTGCGATGCACTTCTGACCAGTGAGCGTATTTTCACCCATTCCAGTGTTTAAAATAATGTCTTTTTTCTCCCCAGTTGTTTTGACAGCAAAAATTCCATTGTATGAGGATGCTCTATGTTAGGAAGCTGATGGTGAAAGTAAACCTTCAAGGCTGCAAACCAAATTTCAGTTCAGATATCACACAAACCAATGTCTTGTGTTTGCAGTCCTGAGACTGGCAATCTGGACTAGGCTTTTTTTCACTATATTTTCAATATTACCTAAAATCACTTCTGCCCAGAACTAGGAGGTAAAGGAGCAGTTGTCCCCCCCCCAAAAAAAAAGAGAAATAACATTAACAAATGTACATTTATAGGTATCTCAAGAGAAGTGTGAATTGTTATTCAGATTTAGAAAACTTTCTGTGTTGGAAAGGTTTAGCTTCTTGCCTGAAAAATGACCATGCCGTTTGGCTGACTGATCCATTTTGGAATGATAGACTATTTATTTGTTTTAAAATAACAGGAAAAGTCAACTTGGTGATAATGAATGCAGATAAGGTAAGAGCAGAAAATGCCTTGGGTTCTCTTATAGCACAGCTGGTGACCATCATTTCTGCTGGAACTGTGCCTCACTGTTTCTCCACAGTCATAATATTTCACCAAAGCTTCTTGTTCTGTGAAACTTTATAGTAACACAGGGGTGCACAGGCAGCACAGGAAAAATACTGGAAGAAGAGGATGGTTATGTTTTCCCAGGTGAAAATCATTCTTCTCTGTCTCTCCATCCCTTGCTGTTTTCTCCAGGGCTTGCCCACACAGGGATACATGCACTATGCATCAGCATACTGATGGTAATAAAATGGTAGGAAAGAATGATCTGTTAAGCTGGGCTGTGCCAGTAATAAAATTTGTATAAAAGGTGCATGAAACTAACCTGAAATCTAAAATCTGATCTGTTCTAGGCCAGATTCTCCTTCCTGGTTTTCCACACAGCGTGGAGCTGACTTTTCTGTTATTCCCTCCACTACCTTCTTCCTTTTTCCTGTTTATACCAAAGCTATAATGTTTTCTCTGCCTTTTCATCCC